AGAGGAAGTGTTTATTGGGACTTCCTGTTGATAGGGGTGGGGGAAGGAGGCTGCTTTGTCTTTGTTGTCTTGATTTTTATCATTGTTTCCTTGTTTGTTTTGTGGTGCTACCATAAGAAACTCTCTTGTACTTGTCTTACACAGGAAGAAATGAAAGCTCAAGGAATAACAGCATGCATCCTCTAAATTTATTTTGCTATTTGTTTTTAACCAGCAAATCCAAACACACAACATTCTCTAAATATAAAGGTAGGCCTACCCTACAGAAACAAAACAAATCAGTGGAGATAGAAAAGCAAAATCCTGCTCACAATTCTTTTCTTCTTCAAGCCTCTTATTAGACAGACCTACCTCTTGTCTATTTGGTTAATAAACCAGGCCAATTTCCTTATTATTCAAGTAAATTTGATATTTTGTTACTTGAAAAGCAAGATTTGTAAAAATATGCTTAATTCGAATTCTAAAAAAAGTATTATATAAATTTGCATAAATTGATTTTTGGTGACTATTTGCTTGTTTCATAAAACACAGGTGTGACTTGTGTTCTACATAGGAAATGCAATGTGAAACATGTATGTTTCCTTGGATTTCCTAGGCATATGTACATTTCAAAGCAATTACTGTACTTGAACTACTTTATCATAAGGTTTAGTAGTGTTTGTTTAAAAGCATAAATACTAGGTAGTCCCATTCTAGTACTGACACAGGTTATTTTATAAGGTAGTAAACTTCATTTTTCTTTGCCCAAATAACAATGATAATAAAAAGTATATATCAGTCTCTGTGAGGCTTTCCGTAAAATCAAGTCCTTCAAATTATAGGAAACTTTGAATTTATGAAATATTTATGAGAAATCACATCATGTTTACAGTGGTTCTCAGCTGTGACTCCAGCATATGGTTTATAAATTGAAACAGGTGTGAGAGAACAGGTGGCCACAGCCAAGCAAAGGAAGGGTTGGAATTTACTGTGGTGAAGCTACATGATAAAATACCACCATTGGCACTGAAGGCAACTTGCTGATTTGATGGCAGAACCTAAAAGATGCTCAGAGGGGTAAATACACATGACAGCACTCGAGATGAAAGTGTTCACCTCTCGCTGTGGAAGTCAGGATGCAGTCAGCATCATTTCCCAAGGTGAGCAAATGCAAATGAATCCTCCTACTGAATTTGAATAGTTTGCAACTCAATTGCATTAAAAGAAAAAAGGAATAAACCCTTCCCCGTACTTCTTTTAATATAAAACCAGTCCAAATAAGGTTTAGGGCCATTTTCACCTCTGTTATCTATGCTACTTGTAAGGATAAGTCAGTCCATTATGCTGGCTTGTACCCACAAACTCCAGACATCTGAAAAATACCCCCCCCCTTTTTAGAGGGGTGGATATAGTATCTTCCTGTTAATTCAGTAAATACTTTTAGAATAAGCCATCCCAAAATTTCATATTGTTTACACAATAAAAGTAATAGAAGACAGTACACATGATTTTAATCCCCCTCATTCCCAGTACTGTATTCTACACTCATCCAGAACTCTACTAGTTCTTTCTATTAGTTCCTACTAATAGAATAGAAAAGAGGCAAAAATATTTCTAGATGGATTTGAAATAAGCATCTGTGCTTACATTTAAACATGAGCTTTCATCATATTCTAGGGATTCACAAAGTTTCACACCAAATATTTTATGCAGTTATATTTAAAAAGACAGCATATAAAATATAGAGAGTAACTTACCTTGTAATCATCTTGTTCTAAGCCATACCCTGGCGTGCATTCAAGAAGGGACACAACTACCTCAAAAAAGTTGTTTGAAATCTCAAGGAAATTGAACTATCCTTCTTTATCTTTCTAAAATTCTCTCTACAATTACCTATTGTGTCTTAATGTAAGCAGGAGGTTTAATTTTTAGAACAAAAGAACATAAGACAGAGTGAAAAATACCAAAGGACTTTACCATCATATACGGTAGTCACTGAATGAAAAGAAGGTATAATGGAAGTGTCCAATACCCAGCTCAGCTCCCCCCACAAACCCCCCACACACACACACATGCTTTAGGGCTAAGCATCCTTCTCCCTTGTTATTGAGGGGGATGTTGACCACTGACAATTCTCAGGTGATTCCTGTTTCCCAACAGTTGCCTTGGGATAAAGAGAACCACCTTGCTAAAGGTAGCCCCCTTCCCACACCCTTTGAGGAGACAGCTCTGCAGGGCCCTTCCAGAGCCAGGGCTTACCTTGGCTGTGCATCCAAGATAGACTAGGTCACCCTCTACCCATTTCTGCACTCTTCACCTTCCCTCAGGTATTCAAACCAAGAGCACTGCACGATACATATTCTGCACATAAACCTCTGTTTCAAAGTTAGAAAACATAATCGGCAATAGTTGATGCTAGAAGTTTTCTAAGAAAGCAGATCATCTGTTGCCCAGCTGCCAACCAAGACTCTTTCACTGGCAGCAGGCAGAGCACACAGGTCTCTTGGTACACAGCGGCAGTGAAACTTGCTAAAACATTCGCGACTAGGAACTGGTATGCGTGAGAAGGGAATGCACTGATAGGAGTAATGTATTGTGCTTTTGAGAAGCACATCAAAATAGTATTTATACAGCTAATGGAATTGGATTATTATTTTGAGGGAAATGGATAAGTTAGAGAGAAAGAAAGACTGAGGTGACTAATCAGCAATTAAATCCTAAGAGGTCCTCCTCAGCAGCATATGAAGAACCTCCAATCTCCTTAAGCCAGAAGACAGAAAGATCAGATTTAACTATAAAAGTACCAGAATCTTGGAAAAGGTCCAGAAGGTTGAATTCTTATCCCCATCAGATTTGCTCTCCCAACAGGGTTTCCATATAAAATATAAATAGCTGTGTAGTTAGATAATAAAACACACTGTGCCTACACACAAGATAGATGGGTAGCCATCAAGAGTTATTTCTCAATATATGCAAACAGAATAAATTAAGGATTGATGGTCAGAATCTAAAAGTAGCTTCCCCAATAAAAAGTTGCAACTCTTTGCCTAGTTTCTGAATTTGAGCCAGTTTTTGGATCTAGAATTCATGTACTGAAGCTATTGAGTTTTCAGGAGGAAAGACTTTATAACATTATGACATGTGTATGTGGACATTATTCCCCCATTTCCTCCTCAAAGGAACCTATAGCCATTGTCTTCAGAAACTGTACAGTGGGCAAAGCAGATGCCCACATATATTAAGAACTGTCATATATGAGGTCTAAACTGGCATTGGTAACCAAGGACCCAAAGCATCATCAGGCTCCTTTGTTGAAGAGGGAGCGTTATGGAGGCCAGGTAATAAATGGAACCCTACTAAATTTGGCTCTCATTGGGTCCACTTTGCCTGATATTAATCTTCCTAATCCCCAAATAAAAAATTGCATGAATATACTTACACACTTGTAGCTGTCAGGCATGGAATAAGAACTAACATAGTGGCCGGGTGCGGTGGCTCACATCTGTAATTCTAGCACTCTGGGAGGCCAAGGCAGGTGGATTGCTCGAGGTCAAGAGTTTGAAACCAGCCTGAGCAAGAGCGTGACCCTGTCTCTATTATAAATAGAAAGAAATTAATTGGCTAACTAATATATATAGAAAAAATTAGCCGGGCATGGTGGCACATGCCTGTAGTCCCAGCTACTCGGGAGGCTGAGGCAGCAGGATTGCTTGAGCCCAGGAGTTTGAGGTTGCTGTGAGCTAGGCTGATGCCACGGCACTCACTCTAGCCTGTGCAACAAAGTGAGACTCTGTCTCAAAAAACAAAAAACAAACAAAAAAAAGAACTAACATAGTGGGAACATTAAGTTGTACCTTCTAAAAATAACTGTCCACCATCCAAAATAGAAAAATTAAAAGCAATGTATCTAAAAGAGAATGATAGAGGCAAATGCTCCCCTTGGGAGGTATTATTTCTCCATTCAGTTCATATTTCTGGTTCTTACAAAAGCCAGCTGAATTCCAGAGTATGGCATCAAATTCTGCTTTCTCAACCATGTAGCTATTGTGTGGAATAGGTAATCTTTGCACACAGTGGCAGTGAAATTTGCCACTGCCTCAGGTACGTGGTATGCAACCACTGATCCCACAAATCTATTCTGTCCCTGTCAGGAATGAAGATCAGAAATATTAATAGTATTTGTAAGTGTTCACTTAGAACAGATAACAGTATACTTGTTTGTCATAGGCCTATGACAATACTATTACTATGTTACAAATAGTCTACAGGAAACTGGATTGTGTGGAACTTCCACAGATAGATGACTTTCTTCACCTTAATGGGACCATGTGAAAAAGAAGTGGAAAGTAGGTTGGAAATCTTGGAAGACAAACACACTGCAGAGGATGGTAAACAATCCTCACAAAAATTTGGAGGCTGACTTCATCAGTGAGGTTTGGGGCAGGTTTAGAATCTTGGGGCATACCACAAAAATCTCTCCAACCTGAAGAATAAATGTTTGCACTTTGCAACTCCCATTGCTAAGAACAAAGCACAGAAACCTATTATGCTGCTTTCAGTTTTAGAGGTAGGATATTCTATCTATAGGAATACTACTCTTATCCATATACCAGGTACCATAAACAGCTTCCAACTTTCAGTAGAACCTAGGAGGAAGATGCTCTCAGACTGGCACCCATGAAGCCCTGCCACTTTGGTCACATGAGCTACTAGGGTAGTATTAGAGATATCTCTACTGGGAAAAGAGGTTGTATGGAGTTTATGACAAGCCCTAAAGGATTGAATCACAGAATAGACTCCTAAAGTTCTGGAGAAAGGCCATGCCATCTGTAGCAGAGATTTATGTACCTTTTCAGAAAAAAGGTGATGACACAATTCCTGGCCTTGGAAGTGATGGGACACATGGCCCTGGGAAACCACATTACAATGAGGTTAGAACTTCCCATCACCTTCCCATCATGACCTGGTGTATCAGTTAGGTTTCAGCAAAGGAAAAGCCAGTCTCTAGAACATATACATACCCATATATGTATATAGATGACAAATCCATAGGTTAGCCCATCAGGAAGGGCAGGCTAGAAACACAGGCAGGAACTGAGTCTTCAGTCCGCAGTAAAATTTCTTCTTCTTCTTCAGAAAAATCACATTTCTTCTCCTAAAGCCTTGTATCAGTTGGATCAAGCTGACCCACCTTACCTAGGACAATCTCCTTTACTTCTGCCAACTGATTAATTGCATCGACAAAATGCTCACACAACACCACCTAGATTAGTGTTTGAATGAGTAACTGAGAGGACTGTAGCCTAGCCGAGTTGACATATAAAACTGAACACCACACTTGGTTTTTGCCAGGCCCAAGGTCATAATGTCAGGCGTGTCTAGCAGCAATGCATTGTGACACAGGAGTGGTACATTCAGAATTTTACATGAGCAGGGCCCCCATGTCACCCACCACTGTTTCACCAGTGACTCACCTTTAAATAGACTTGGCTGCCCTCTAGCCCCTCTTGGAGTGGGGGGGGGGAGGCTGAAAAACAGCAGTGTCGGGAAATTACCTCAACAGACGGCAGTTTGAGTGGTTAACCTGGCCCTCTACTCTGTGTAGAAAGAGGTGTCCACTGTTTAGAATGTACATAGACTCATGAACATTGGTAAATGGCTTGGCTGAGGGGTAAGGGACTTGGAAGGGTGCAAACTGGAGAACGGTGAAGTCTGTAGAATAAGCATATTGAGAACAGGCCTGAACTGTAAAGACCTTTGGATCACATGTCAACCTCCAATTGAAAGCATCCACCACAGAAGCACTAACCCCTAAACAGATTGACTAGGTCAGTGGGCATCATTTGGATTCTGTCCATCAGCTACCTTGGCATTGGCACAAAGGGCCCATGAACTGTGTAGCCCAGGCTGCTGAGGATATTTGGGTCCAATAACATGGGTCCCCTCTCACCAAAGCTGATTTAGCCACTGCTGCTGGCAGAAGTCCAACTGCCAGCGAAGCAACCAAGGGCAATGCTAATTCGCCAATATGGCACCATCCCTCCAGGGGTCAAAATAGCCATTTGGTAGAATAATGACTTCATTAGACACGTTCTATTCTGGAAGTTCTTTTTGTTTGGCATCAGTACATATTCTGGGTATGATTTTGCCTTTCCTCCCCAAAGGGCATCATCTAGCACCACTAGTCAAAGACTATCAGAATGTTTGATCATAAGTAACTTTGTATAAACCCACTTTACAACAGAGGAGGTGCAGATGTGGGCACATCAAAATGAAATCTGAAGATAGCTGCCTCATTCAAGAAAACATGCCCTATTCTTAGGGCAGCCTTCATTCAAAGACTAATCAATGCAGAAATATAAAGACCCATGGGTTGGCCAAAACCTTTATTGTTACCACATCACAGTCCAACATCTCCTTCTGCCCTATCCTGCTTTATTGACTCCTCCTTCACTACTGTTGATCCCAAGAGTAACACTGAATAATATTTCTGAATGTAAATTTCAGTTTCATAAACTGCTTTCTGCAATACCTAATCTGTTGTAGTACATTTATACAAAACCATATAATTACTTTCAGATAAAAGCAAACTGTTCACTTAATAGCCCCAAAGAGTCTTATCATTATTTTAAATAAGCTAATTCCTACATTATGTTTTTAAAAAATATTAACTAAAATCTTTGTTGTATATTTACTTAATAATATAAACAAGTTATGTCTTAGTATATAAAAAAGACCTTATAATTTTTATACATAAAATAATAGCTTGTAAAGTATTACCTAAAATACCATGTTACTTTGATGAGGAGTACATTATCAAATTTTCAAATTTATCATCTACTAGTGCTAGAATTGGGGTTACCAGTTCAGAATAAGGACTTACACTATACCTAAGAGTTTACACACACACATACACACAAACAGTCATACATGACTCCTACAAAAATAAAACAACTATATTGGGTACATAATATGTGTCTGGCAATATCTCCTAAGGGCTTTACATACATATAATTACATACATATAATTTATTTTTCAGGGTAAGTATATGGGTTATTATAATTTGTCTCAATAAGAAAACTCAGGATTAGAAAGGTTAAGTAACGGGCCCAACATCATACAATTAGTAAGTGTCAGAGCCAGAAATGCCTTTGTAGTCTGCCTAAATTTGAAACTATACTTTCAAATATTATGCAGAAAATTTAATGAGAAAGAGGAATGCAATAAAAAAAGATTGAAATATACATGCTAAGTATGTAATGCAACAGAATACAATGCACACCTTTAAATGCAATTCCCTTTTTTTCAAAATTTCTCACAAAAATTATTTTATAAAGAAAAGAACAGAAATTTGCGATGACTTTGAATCAGTAATTTGTGCACTTGGAGAGTTTTAAACTCAGCTTCTCAAAAGTAGTCACATTTTAATATATTGAAAGCTTGCTCAAACATTAATTCTTTAAACACTCATCTAAATTTTTACCAGTGAATAACAGCATCATTCCAGAAACTTGAATTTCTTTCCTGGCTGAAAAATAAACACAATGTTTCTTTCATTCACTTCCCACTTTAAATTAACTCAAATACACTTAGCAAGAGATGTTTGTTGGACTTAAAGGTCACTAGGAACTAAGTTAAATAATGTCTCCAGAGACTGCACAAGATGTTTTTACCAAAACTTAGATGTCTTTATAAAAGCCCTTAAAGTGCTTTCGGCTTCTCAGGCAATGGCCTCAGATCTCACACTTTACAAATGTGTGGTAAACACATTGCATTTTAAAATAATATCAAAACATATTTCAACTATTGTTAACCCTTCAAGATCTTTCCTAATCTATAAAAGGCAGAATATTATAGCTGAACATCTGTCATAGGTAGATGTCTCTAGTGGTTGTATCTTGATTGTTTCGATAGTTAGCTGAGTCATGATGAAGAGGTAGGTCATGTCATCCTTATCAAGCTATGATAATAAACTATTCAAAACTCTGTACTTTATTCTGTCAATAATTCAGAGTTCTTTTATTGAACCCTGATTTTGCTCCAGGTACTCACCTGACTGTTTCTGAAAAAGCATTGAACAAACTGTACTCTCCCTGTTAAGACTGTTTTCTACTTTGATGGAGCTATAGAAAAGAAATGAAGAGTCAAATTTCTGGCTGTGCATATGCATGAATAAGGACAGAGAATTCAATTTTACTAAAGAATTCTATATGTATTATCTTCTCTGTCTTTTATGGCTAGTAATTTGTTGAATTACGGCAGAAATGTGGACCCTTAACTTAAGTTGAAGTCATTCCCAACATTTATGCATGTTTTAGCTACTTAAATAGCATATATCATATATAGCCCAGGTTGATCAAATTAGAATGATTGTTTTAGTCAATTCTTATCTGTAAATAGAACCAAATCAAGACTTGTTACTTACAGTATTTGAGAACAGAAAGACTGTTAAGGGTCCTAAAACTCAATAATTTCCAAATTTGAATCTGCAGAGCCCACAGTGGAGACCTTTCCAACTCCCTTACATTAGAAAATTTCACGAATTATCCCTTATTACAGATGTCAGTTTTCTAAGTGAAGATCAGTTTCAAAGAAGAGCCCCATGATTACTCACCTGAAAATGCACAATGGTCTGGAAACCCCTAATGTTCTAATAACCTTATTTTCCTACTCTGGATATTGTGTCCCAGAGCAGTTTGTCAACTTTCTAGGTTCAAAGAGCTAGAAAATAAGAGAGCGAGACTCTAAATTGAGGTTTCTTAATTCATAATTCTAATTTGGATTTTAATCATTTCTCTTAGTTTCTTTACCTTATTCAGTTACAGGAGGGAAAATGAACTAACATGTTTTGGAGGTAGCTACATTACACTAGAAGATGTGTGTGTATACATATACATATATACATATACATGCATATGTACATATAGGTTTGTATGTGTGTATATATGTATTTGCCCCCATTTATATATACTCCTGTAATCTTTGCAACACTATGAGTTTGGTGCGTCTTTCTCATTTTACAGATGCAAAACCTCAAGCTCAGAGAAATTAAATAGTTTAGATTACAGAGGCAGAAATGGCTGAGATAAGATTTGAAATTACCACTGTCTGACTTCAAAGCTGACATTTTGTTCCTCTTTCAACATATTACCTCCTCAAATGATAAAACTCCAGTTCTCATTTGCCATTTCTTTTTGGATGTGATTTCATACATGGTATAAGCATGAACTATATTTATATGATAATTTGGAAACAAATATTATGATTATCCAAGTCCTCCCCCCACCTTTTAAATTACCTTCCAGAATGTTTTCATGAATGTTGACCTCAACTAGTTGAATCACTATATGAAGTTTTTACGACATCTAAAAATGGAAAAGGTAATTCCTGAACCAATACTTTCTACGTGCTCATCACAAAGATAGTCACACATCTTGGAATAGGCAGAACACTACCTTTTACTTTCAGACCAGACTTCCAGCTTCATAATTGGCCCGACTTCACTAAGCTGTGTCGCACATAGGAAACAGAATAACAGGTCTATCATTCTTAAAGAAACAGAATGGTTACACAGCCAGCCAAATCAGAACCCCTGGTGACACTTGTCAAGCCAAGTGATAAAGCAACAGAAAACAGAGCAGGAAGAAACAACTAAGACCAGAGGGGAGGCACTGCCACCTGTCCTCTATGACGTCTCCCCCATTCACCCATGACTGCCACTGCGTGAAGGAGTGAAACAAACTGGCAGAACGCTGGGGAGGGAACCTGGAGAACTGAAACCACTCTACTGGTTTGTATCTCTTTCCCTTTGAAGGGCTTATGATCCAGTGAGTAATATATGGGGTCAGCCCAGGTGGGTGGAGAGGGCTCGGTTGCAGGCATATCAAGCATAAGGAGTGTGTACAAACTGAGTCCAAAATAAACAGAACAAAGAAAAGGGAATTACATGATAGGTTATTTGTTTCCTGTGGCAGGGATGAAAGCACGAGAAATGGGTTTCAGTCCCAATGCCTAATCAGTCATCAATTATTTTATAATGGAAGTAAGAACTGATAAGTGGATACTCCACCCCGATTTGAATGTTCAACGTCTGAAGTGTGGTCTATTTTCAGATAGTATGCATATGGAAAACCTGCAAAACTCAAGGTTTCTCAACTTTGGTATTATTGATGTTTGGTGCCAGATGATTCTTTTTTTGTGAAGAAATACCCTGTGTCTTGTAGGTTGGTTAGCAGCATCCTTGACCTCAGCCCGCTAGATGCCAGAAGTGACGCCCTGCAGTCTTAGCAACCAAAA